TTGAGAGAGAAAAATGCTTTAATTCGTTTGATGGTATTGAAAAAGACTGGGGAAAGTTTGTATTGCTGACATCCGAAAATTCAAAAAAATGCAAAGCCCGTTGGGATTTTTTTTTGACAGTATTTTTAAAGACATTAAGTATCAAAAGTAGAAAATAGTAATGACAGTTCAAAATAAATTTTCTCGTTTTTACTTGTAAATTCCTATATGAAAATTTAAGCTTCATGTTAGCGGAAATTGGTCCGCTCAAGGTCATTCGATCCCATCCTCACCCCCAACTTCCAACTTTCACCCCCAACCCTCAACCCCCAACCCCTTTTTTCGCTACCGAGGATCGAACCCGGGAACCGTCCGCTGTCGAGCTCCGACTTTAACGCCGATCTAACGGACATATTAAAATCATTGGGTAATTGTGTGTTAGATATTGAGAATGATGACTCATCTTTTTACCGAGGGCCGAATCCGGGACTCTAGAAAATCGCCGCACTGTAGTCTTTTATCTGCGGTTGCGAGGCAGTGGCACTGCAAATTTTTTTGAGATAATGATGAATATATTAAAAAATTGAATCCAATAGCACATGTAATTTTTAAATAAATCCCTTTTAGATTGATATACACTTTTTCAAAATAGGCATTTGTAAATGGGTCGTCGGTTCGCTGTTAACGGTAGCCACGTACTATAGGTACCGGTTAGACGACGCTTAATTTTATCGAAAGTGTCTTAATAGGCTCATTACGGACATCGGATGTTTTTGAAATGCAAATCATGAAATTTAAAATAGAAATTCATTTGGTTGGGACTAATATAACAATAAGATTCATTTGCCTTTTTTACGAAGTTAGCATTATCTATAAAATTATTATAATTTCCCTTGCAGGATGCTGTTACATTAACGTGTGGTCTCAACGTTTTGTTTTCTCTGTCAAAGCTAAAGTTTGTGCTAGTTTAAATAAACGTAAATTAATTTTGTGTAAGTGTCTTTTTGGTTGATTTACATTAAAGAATCTGTTTTTAGCTTCGTGCCACTCGACTCTACAACACAATACTGTTCAGTGCCACGTCCGTCCGAAGTTTACCTTATAGGTGACATAAATCGGAATTTTCAGATGTGCACTAGATTTTAGAGTTAGATATAGGTTATAGTTAAGTGAAAAAAATGTCTTTGGTCGAAGCGCTTATTGGAGCCAATAGAGCTTTGTTCACTGTTGTACTGGCTACCCCCAAAGATGATGATGACGCTGAGGGTACGAAAGAATGTACCCGAGCGATAAGAAGAATCCAAAAGGAAATGCGTGCTACAAAAACGGTGGGAGAAAAACAACGTCTGATAGCCCAGATAGCTCAAGTTAAATCGTTTCGAAGTTAATTTAAAGGAATATTGAAGAGAGGTTCTGGAAGTCGACCAGTGACTGCGAGAGATCGCGTTCACTGGGATGACGTTAATTCAACATTTGAATAGCGCATATCTAACCTTCAACACAAGGACCTGCAGAGTTTTCTGCAAGACTGTTTCGCACTATTTCGACGACGTGTCAATAACGCGCTAAAAACGGACCAGTCCGTTAAGATAAACGCTGTCTTTGGGGGAGAATTCCAAATTCAAAAGGAAATTAAATATTTTAAAACTTCGAAAACAGCAATCTACAAAGATACTAATTTACAACGATGGTTTGAGAGAAATGTTGTATTGCCAATTAAAACCCAATAAGAGGAGATCCAAGAAAAAAGATTCTGGACGGGTTTTGAAAAAAATCCTAAATTTAATGGTCAATATCAACAAGTTTAATCTACCTCACGCCGGAAGTTACCGGAGTCGATAGCAAGAAAGCACGTCTGTATTAATGTGCAAAATTCTTTGCCTGGGCCGTGGTCTCTGCTCTATTTCCTACCGGATCAAACTGTAGAAAGACTTCCACTTATCCCTCTCCCAGGCTGTTTTAGTCTTAAAGGTGTCCAGTTTCCAATGACATTGCGGCAAATTCCCAGATTCGAAGGTCAAAATAATGTATCGGTGAATGTCTACACGCTGTGGAAAAAATCGCCAAGTAGGTTTCAAATTGTTCTTGCTTATCTGACCAAAGATAAAAAGGTCAAGCACGTTAACCTTCTACAGGTACAAAGTCAGTATTTTACCGAAAAGGACCCCATCGATTTTACGCCCATTATGTACCATTATGTATGGATCTCAAATATCGAAACATGATAGTAGAATATATTTTTGCGAGCCTTGCTTGCATTATTTTGATTCCGAGGAGAAGTTAGCAAAGCACGCCAAGGATTGTGAGAAGAGAAACAAAAATTTTGAAATTCCCAGGGTTTCCGAATAAGGCAAGATTTTTGAGCAATTCAAGGACTTTAAGTACAAAGAGAAGATTCCCTTTATTGTTTATTCCGACACGAAATGTTTATCAGCGCCATGTTCCGTACTCTCTGGCCTATTATTTTAAATGTTAATATGAAGACTCCCTTTTATATTATCGTTCGTATACGGGAGAGGATTGTGCAGAATGGTTCTGCAAAAAGATGGAGAAACTAAATTAGAACATTGAGACGGTATTATTGTGTGACGTCCCAATGGATGAACTAACAGCTGGACAGAAAATGAAATTGTACAAGTCTAAACTGTGTCACATATGCGAGAAGGGGTTTGAAAAAGACGACAAAATAGTTCCAGATCATTGTCACCTGACTGGGAAATACAGGGGACATGCACACGAAAATTGTAATCTCCAACTTACGGACACCCACACCGTTCCTGTAGTACTGCATAATCTTTCCTCGTATCGATCGACTTGCTACCTGTAAGCAAGGAAAAGTATATTTTCTTTACGTGGCACCAAAAAACTACCTTGTGAAATTCCGATCCATCGACAGTTTTCGCTTTATGGCGAGCGGCCTGAATAAGTTAGCGACCAATTTGACGGAATACCCTATACTGGAGTTCGAATTTAGTGAATTGTCGGAGGAGCAAGCAAATATGTTGAAACGAAAAGGTGTCTTCCCCTACGGTCTTGACTTGCCTCCTATATCGGCATTCTATAACATATTGCAGCATAAACCGTTGACTAAAATAGATTACAAAGATGCTCATGAAGTCTGGGAGAAGCTTGGATGTCGAAATTTGCAGGATTATTCTGAACTTTATATGAAGACGGATATCTTGCTCTTGGCAGACGCTTTTGAGAAGTTTCGAGAAACAATACATAAGACTAAGCAAAAACCGACGCAAGAGGAATCCAGAAGTTTTGTAAAAAGCATTACATAAGACCTATGGCCTTGATCCTGCACATGCGTATACACTGCCGGGATACTCGGGGAGCTGCATGTTGTATAAATTGAAGCAAACATTCGATCTACCCTCCGACGTCCACATGATTTTGTTTATCGAAAAAGGAATGCGAGGAGGCCTTATTTAGTGCTCCAAATGATATGCGGAAGCCAGCAACAAATATATGCATTCCTCCAATGCCTCCAAAGATAACAAATACTTAATGCATTTCGACGTCAATAACCAATACGGGTGGGCAATATCTCACTACCTACCGTACGGAGGTTTTAATTGATTGGATGAACAGCAAATCGAAAATCGTGATATTTTAAATATATCCCACGAATCGGAAGTCGACTCCATCTTGAAGGTCGATTTTGGAAATTGCGGATTTACCTCTATGTCTCGAATATCGGTGTTCTCCAGGATCCGAAAATCAAAAATTAATTACCACCTTTTACGATAAGCAGGAGTATGTCATTCACTATCGTAATCTAAAACAGGCCCTACAACTGGGAGCTAAGTTAAGAATAGTACATCGAGCCATCTCGTTTAACCATCCGCCTTGGTTAAAAGCCTATATCGACCTAAACATTGCACTACGCCATTCTGCCAAAAACGAATTTGAAAAGTTTAAATTGATGATCAATGCTGTGTTCGGGAAAACAAAGAAAAACATACGGAATCATTCCAACGTTAAGCTTGTGAAAAACTTGGAAGGCCACTACGGTGCGGAAGCTCTGATTGCCCTACCCGAATTTAAAGTTGCAACTAAGATTAATAAAAATCTAGTTCTTATCGAATTTAAAACAATTGACATATATTTTAATAAGCCTACCTGCTGGGATGTCAATTATGGAGATGTTATCCATAGACCCGTATGAGATTTTAAAAAAGGATTGGTTCTGGTACTTTAGTGTGAGATTTTAAAAAAGGATCCGTAGGATATATCCACAGTCAATAAAAAGGTTTTGGGTTTGATGAAGAATCAAAATAATGGACGAATCATGTCTCATTTTATCGGACTTAAAACTAAGATGTACCCCACAAAGCTATATATAAGCAAGAATTGATGACTGCAGAAACAGATCGATAAACATTTGAAAGTGAACTTAAAAATTTTGGTGTAACGGAGAGTGTCGAACTAAGATAACGTTTGAAGATTTCGTCGATTGTTTGCAAAGTTTCGCTGAAAAAAACAATGAGAGCGAGTAAACTGGAGTATCCCAAAAGAAGATCGGGTAAAGTCCTTGCGATGATAAACGACGCATATCAAAGTCATCAGTGGAAACGTTGTCGTGGAGTTACTATTCAATTATTCAAGAAAAAACTGTCACCGCTTGATTGTAAATGTTTTTATCGGTTTTGCTTAAAAAAAAAATTTTTCCTAAAAATCGAATGGGGTGCGCTGAGTTCATATTTGACAGCCTCGTCATATTTAATTTATTTAATTCTATTTACCTATAGCGTTGTGTACGTGTCTACCGTTAACTGCCAACCGACGACTCATTCACCCTATGTTTATTGCGTAAGTCAGAGGTCCTGCCATAATTTGCGTTTTTTTTATTTATAAAATTCCGTCTATTGCTCCCCTAAGTAAGTAAGTATTTAACTGCCAACCGCCTAAAAGTAAGGCTAACTGTGCTTCAAATGACCTACCAACTTTAATTGAAATAGACTGGATCACTTTTAATTTAGTTTATTTATGTAATTTTCCATTTGGTTTTGTTTTAACAAAGCGATGGGTATATGAATTAATAAAAGAATTAGGGGGCATTTTAAGGAATTGTTAGAAATAACGAGGTATTGTACAGGAAATGTAAGCATTGTGTATTGTGAAGAGCTAGAACTATGCCTTTTGTCAAAACTACCTTGGCGCTGGATCACAACAAATAGGATTCCGTATGATGTCTTTCAATCATTAACAAAAATTCAAAGCACAAACCACCAATTTAACAGCCGTAAAAGTAGTTGTTTTCCACGCCGAAGTAATTGTCAAATTTGCAATTTTTATGATCCCACGCGGTCATATTTCTATAGCCGTAACCGAATCGGCAACAACCGCCTCCGGCGGCGCAACAGAAATCGCTCAAAGATTCATTAATTTGATAATAGTTCTCGTTCCTGTAATTCTCGTACGAACAGTGCGGCGCGTTCGCGTACGACTTCCTGGTGCAGTACTCGATGCCCGATCCGAGTAGCGCGTTACTCAGTAACGTGGCCGTTGTTTGGCTCAATTCGATGCTGAGGATATCGATAAATCTCGCTATATCCATCGGGCGACCTTCTTGGAGAGTCTGGCTCATCGCCGAGATGTAATTCCTGGCCAGCCGAAGCGTCTCTATTTTGGATAACTTTTGCGGTGCCGAATTCATATCTGAGTGGGTTATCTGTACAGGCATGCATCTGAAACCAAACAAAATATTTGCTATACGGGGTGGTTCAAATTTTAAGCCATAAACTGAAACGGGACATGTTACGTTTCTTTTTCTTTTAGCTATACCCTCGTACCTCCGCCTGGGGTCGTTAAGGGATGATAGCCCCAATTTTGCCGCTGCCACTTCCAGCCCCGCATAAAGGGAAAGGGCTGTACACTCTAAGACTTATTGTTGTCTTGAAAGTTTAGCTAATACTGTAAAATAGTTTCATAAAACAGAAGCTTGATTTCGCACGATATTTGTTAAATTACATGTTAGTATAAAAGAAAGTTGTGATAATATTTCTAAATTTTAAAATGAAATTAACAAAAAATTGTAATTTATTTTACGGATTTTATAAAATAATGTGATTTTAAAACATTTATAAATATGTTGCCAAATTAATACGCATGGGTCCGCGAATAGAGCGTACAAGAATAAAAAATTGTAAATTTTTTACCAAACGACAAAATGTCGTTCTGTAACAAACGTAAGAATGAATTTAAAATCAAATTCCACAATTGGTTATTCTATTTTCAGAAAACCTACGCACACAGACTGATACATTAATGCATTTTCGCATTACTATCCGATTCAAAAATCATTCCTTATCAACTCTCCTGCAAAGAATTAAAACACTTTCTATCTACTATTGTCTCTAATAATTTTCACATTAGATATATTAAGCACAAAATACATACTATACCATAACCTTCATAAATTCGAGACATGACTGACGAAATACATATTCTATATAATTTATGCATTTGTGGAGAGACAGCACCAAAAATATCAACACGATATGAAATCGGACATCATCTGAAAATTCTTGCGTGTAATGAATTTTTCTACCAAGAAAAATCCATCCACTGAAATCTATAAACAGCCCATCAATTTGAACCGCAACTCCTATTAAAAAGTATTACAGTGACCTACTGACAGAAAACCGACGGGACTATCTTGACGCACGCCTTGAGGTGGAAGAAATAATAGAAAATAAAGTAGAAGAAATTACTTTTGAGAAAGTAAGAAAAGCTCTTTAAAAAATAAAGAACAGGTCTCAGGACTAGGAGAACTACTTATCGACTTATTGAAATATGCCGCAATAACAGCGTTCGGTAAAATTTGAGTGATATTTAATAAATGCTTAATCGTGATCAATAAGAAGGCAAATAGAAATGAATGAAGAAATTATAGAGGAATCAACAGAACGTCGTCAGCAAGAAGACTGTCCGGAAAAGTTCTAAAAGCTAAAATAAAAAGAGGAGTTGGGGATATTGGGGAACAAGGTGATTTTAGACCAGGAAGATCCTGCACAGATAATATATTCAAGCAAAGGGAAGAGAACTTTATGTCACTATTATTGATTTGACTTTGGTTCTGCCCGCCTTCAAAAATTATGGATTTCCGTCAAGGAAGCAGTCGTTAACATAAATGCAATTAACCAGACGAAAGTAAGAATGGGAGACCGGACCTCTGCACCCTTGCAACAGACAAAGGAGCGACACAAGGTTGCTGCCTTCCCACACCCTTCTTAAAATGTCCCTATGTGCCGCTCTAAAGCAGTGGAATAAAAAGTGAAAATACTCACCCTTCTATTCGCAGATGACCAAGTTGTTATCACCGAAGATGAGCAAGACATGACATATATACTTAACACGGAGGATTACAATAAGTGGGTTCTGGGAATAAACACAGAAAACACGCAAATATTGTTATAGGAAGATGGAGTCAAGATGCAAAATTGGAAAAGGGAATAATAAAAAATCTAATTCAGTGTGCAAAAGTGATTCCATTATTTAAAAAAGGTAAAAGGTCAGATTTAGACAATTATCGCTATTTCTATTGTCCCTATTTTTGGGAAAATTTTCGAAACAATCCTAAAGGAACTATTATTGAATCCCAAGCATACCTTTTTTTTGGGAGGAACAGTGGGGATTCCTGCTTGGAAAATCTACTACATATGCAGTTCGAAAGGTAGTGCCAGAGAGCCTTAATGATCTGTAAGGTGGCGACCACGTGTCACTCTTTCTTTGCGATATTTCGAAAGCGTTTCATTGCGTCAGCCATGAAATTTTGATTAAGAAATTATCATCATTTGGCTTGTCTCAAAAAAATCGAACACAATAAATTAGTCTTAATGGGAATCATTCATCTACTTTAAATCTAAAACATGGTGTCCCTCAAGGATCTACTCTAAGGCCACTTTTCTTCATTAGTTACATAAATGATTTTCCCTTATGCATTATTCCCATCACTTTCCGGTGGCGATATGACAATAATCTGCAAGAGCTCATCTTTAACCAGAATAGATGAACTGACTTATGGGGTTGAGCTGAAGGCGCAGTCTCAGTTTTTAACAACGTAACAATTTATTTTTAAATAATTGTAAAACACAAAAACTTTTAATTTCAATCAATGCTCTTCCTAAGTGTGATAATGTCACCCTCCGTGGTGTCACCTTGGGCGATCATTTCAATTGGAGTGCGCATATTGATGTTCTTTGCAAGAAATTAGCATCTATGCTTTGCTTGCTTAGCAGAGACACACTTAGTACTGACGTCCTAATAATGAATATATTAATTATAAATTCTAATTGGCGCCATTTGTCCTTTTGTTTGTTTATGCTATATTTTTGTGTTTTTGTACATATATTTATTTGTACAAACTGACATGCTACATACAATCTTGTATTACGTGGTTAAATAAATAAACTAAATTAAATAACTCATAAACAAATGTAAAAAACAAACAGTGGCTATGGCCGACGAAATTTAGAATATAGTGTAAAGAGGGGAAAATCTTAGAAAAACAGGAATAAATACTGAAGAACAGAGAATTGAAGCAAAGGATTAAACACAGAAATACAAAGATTGACTAGAGCGATAAAAATAAACACTTACAGACCATATGTCTCGATACATAAAAGCTTTCTAAGACCAGTGATCTACTTAAATACATTAAAGAGATCACAAGAGAATTTAAGCCTAAAACATGGTCGATAGAGGATGAGAACGGAGCAGTGGTCACTGAAATAGAAAAACTCATGCAAGTTTGGCTACAACATTTCATTAATTTATACATAGAAGTAGAACCTATACAACAGCTCGAGGTTCCGTTATCGATCGAGGATATAGAACAATATTAAAAAGTGAAATAAAACATGTGATTCGACATCTGAAAAATAATAATAGTCCGAGCGAGCATGACATGAATGTTGAAATCATCCCGCGAAAGGTATCGATCTCTTGTGGAAAATTTATAACCGAATTTGGCGGAGAGGATAGTGATCACGCGATTGGGGTACTTCTATTCTCATACCGTTGCATAAAAATGGACAAAAAGTAATAATTATAGAGTTAGTATTGATTTCTCATCCAAGCAAGATCATATTCAGGATCTTGTTGCAGAGACTTATAAACTTCTTAGAATAGCAAATTCCACAGAAATAGGCTGGTTTTCTGAATAGAAAAGGCACCAGAGACCTGATTATGAATGTGCGACAAATTATAGAGAAGACTATATATGGAGAATATACATAACCTTCGTGGATTAGAGCAATGCACTTGATTGTGTCAATTTGCGGTAGATGGGAACACCTGGATATGTGATTCTCCTATTAAAACAAATATATAAAACTAATGAAAGTGGATTTGGAAGACCTATGAACCTTTTAACTTGAAATGTGGTGTATATGGAGAATATATCATATGGAAAATCTGGGACGGTTGGGAAGGTGGATTCGTCATAGACGGCAGAAGGATGGTCAATGTGACACCCACACCACGCACTTATTGTCAAAGGCGAGCAGGAAATGTTGAGTTAATGAACGAGAACAGAGAGTGAGCTTGGAGTTTGAGATTGAAGTTTGAAATTGAACCGTCGAAAAACGAACCTTATGCTAATAGACCGCACCTGCAGCATTGAAGAAATAACCAGCATTCAAGCTGTCGGGAACATTGAGAAAATAGTCTACCTGGCTCTTGTTAAATAAAATTTGCAATGCTCGGCATATCGCAACTTCAATAAAATGCAAATTAGTCAACACTATCGTTTTTCCAATTTCCCTATATATAGCCGAGTCCTGGACCTTGAAAGTCACAGACATTGCCAAATTGGATGCCTTCGAGATGTGGGTCTGGAGAAGATAACTGAGGATACATTGAACATCCCATGGATCCAGCATATCTATACTAAAACCCAAAATCAAACAACAGATTCCTTAGTATTTTGGACATGTCAGCAGGAGGAATCATGACAATCTCTGAAAACTTGTAGTCCAAGGAAAAGCTTTTCAAAACCGTTGCTGGGCTAGGTGAAGCAGTTTACAGAGAGAGAGAGAAAGAGATAGAGAGAGAAAACTTGACTCACTTTTTGCCCAGAATATAATATAATATAATATAGTAAATTCTATCAATGTTTTCATGAAAATAATGTGCTTCACAGTACTAATGGACTGTCTTCTTATTGGCTTAGTGAATATCGTAATCGTAATAAATTATTGCGAGATGCTGTAGCCAAGTTTGTGCAACAACATCTAGCGATAGTCTATAACTACATCATCGAGTCAATTCTTCATGCTGTACTGGGATCACACCGTCCTAATTGGCCAAACTGTGAATTACAAAAAAGATCGCCAAGTACGGCAGATCTCGCAAGCATGACTGGAGAGACAGTGGCAAATGGACACCGCAGTAATCCTTTTTTCTAATGTTCAAGATTACGTATTACATAAATAATGTCAACTACATAAGTAATGTTAATGAACCAACGCATTTTTTTCTTAAATCCTCTGAAAATGCTTGCAGCCTCAAAAAAATATTTTGAGAGGTGCCTCAATTTGGTTAATTTGCAATTTTTTTTATTACGTATTAAATATTAGTTTTTCCAAACTGGGCAAATTATTTTTAGTTATTACAAATGTTGTGCTGCTGGTTTTTAGGTAAGAAATGAAGCGTGTAAGTATATAGATGTAGACAAGGTTTATACAATTTCACGAAGTCGAAGCTTCAATGAGATAAATCCATTGACCGGATAGAGATCGTTACATTCGGAGAACAAGTACATTCATTGTCTCAATGATTCACTTTTTTTTTTCAGAGGAAAGTCCATTAATGTAGGACATTAAAGTGATGAATTGGAAATTATTGAAACAACTAATCACTTTAATTTTTTAATGTAAAATATTATCAGTAAAAAAAAATGTATTTACACATTGCTGGTCCGGTGTTGCCATAGACATAATTCGGATTCGGATTTGGATTCTGCGAGGACACCGCGAAATTTTACGAATTTTAATATTTAAGTACTAATCTGCCTAATGAAGACTATTTAGACAAATAATTAATATAGGTAGCGTCATGGTTGATATTCTCGAATTTCAGTGAATGGACCAATAGCCCAAGGTTGCCGTGTTTAAATTGTTAAATTAAAACATTAACCAAAAAGTGTCAATTTTTTTAGTTTGATCGGAGCTAATATATTGTAGGTTTCCTCCGAATGACAAATTATACTATATAAAAAATACGAAGAAATGTGTAATGATCAAGACATAAAAAATCACAGTTGAAGCAAAATTACCCATCCAAGTTTTTATTTTCTTGATCTTACAATAATTAAGACCTGAATTATTTGTCCATCTCCATAATTATATTTTCAGATTTATTGTTTTAACAAACTACCTTTAGTAACGCCGTTGTCATATCACTTTCGTTCTCGTCTAACTAGTTTTCCTATTGTATGCAAATTAGTGTGAAGCTAATTTAGATTCGAGGTCCGTTGGTCTTAACAAATGTTTAAAAACTTTAAGTTGTTCACCCTGTTTAATGAACCCTGTCATTGCAAATTTATATTTTTTTACTTTTTCGCATCCAGAAAATTGTCTAAGAAAATGAGTTGAACCAGAAGGTAGATGTAGTCTTGTTGATGATTTCAGGCTTTCAAGGTTTCATTGCAAATAGATTATTTAAGCAGTTTTGTCTAGAGGATTAATCATCATAACAATAAAATTCCTTTCATTCTTGAATTTATTGAGTCGGAAAAAGGTAGTTTTGCCACCTTTTGAATTTGGCTTTATGGAATGTACCGGATTTTCCGCTGAGGGCAACGAGGTATTGAGAAAAGCGGATGTTCCTACACTCAGAAAAATATGCGTTTAAAATGCACAAGAAATCACCTTTAAATAAATCAACCCTTTTCTACAATTTAACTAATCGAATTATAACGCTTTATGTAGTTTGGTTTATAAATTATTAGTTTACTCGTTTGACATTTCCAATGTTTGCGCCCGAAATCAGTTCGAACTGATTGTCTGTGCCCCACAATGAAACAGCATACGAAAAGCTTTTGAGTGTAGTGGTACATAATTACACATATTAAAGTGCAGGAGCTTGTTTTTTTTTCATTTAAAATATTAGACTTGATAAAGCTTGGAAAGTTATGGTTTGGTCCGATGCTTTGCTAAAGTGGTTTTTTCATAAATATTGCTATATTCTTAAACGTTTTACCACTATTAGTTTTATACGAACCGGGAATAAGTTAGGAGACAAATCAATTTTCTTGAATTTTAAAATCGTGGAGTTAATAAAGTGAACTGAGATCGTAAGTGAATGTGCGACTGCAACTGCACACCCTTAGCATCAAAACTCCGAGAGATTCAAATCCCGTTAATCTTCAACCTCGGTCCGGAAAATTCCTATCTTAAAAGCTCGCACACAAACGCAACCACGTACCTCCTTAACGTGTCCAGGGCCGCATTCAAACCGTGCATTCTGTTCCTCTCCCTGGCGTTGGCTTTGTAGCGTCTCATTTTCACTTTATTGTACACCCTCGACCTGCCGTCTTTTTTCCCGAGGCTTTCCATGATGCCGTCGACGAAAAGCTTTCCCGGGGCTAAAAAGCTCTTTATATAAACTCTCTCTTTAACGCTATCTCGCTTGTTTGTTCTTCCACTTAAACATTTTTACGCGATGATTTTGTTCGGGGGCGACAAGTGCCAGCGACCAGGGCCGTCACGCGAATATCTTCGTCGATAATAGCAGGTTACACTATGACTTTAAGCCATAGCGACAATTAATCTACACCTCCAACGTTAAACGCTATGATGTAAATAAATAATAAAAGTAACAACCAAAAGTATTGCGGAAAACTTTTTTTTTCGAATTTAAAAACAAAAATATATCGACAATGTTGACTCCAAAAAACCATTCTTGGATTGTAAAGCGGTGTATGTTGGTCAGATTGGTGGATGTCAGAAAACGCCCGTTGCAGATTATAAAAGAACAATTAGACCAAGGCACCGGTCTTAGAGCATTTTCCTACCAAACACATTGACACATGACCGAAATTCGAAAATTATAAGAGCAGTATTAGTGAAATGCCTTTAGCAGAAAAAAATTAACATTGTTCTCAGGCGCATTCATTATTTCGAAAAGTTTTCAGTTTTAATTGTTAATTGTTATGTGTAGTCGTAGTAAGTTTGTTCAAAATATTTGGAGAGAAACGGGACTCTAAAACGATTTCAGTTTCCTGCGTCATTCTTTTTTGACCAACGATTCCCAAATTTTTTGATTGGTTTTGGTTGGTTTCAGTTATATCCCATGTAGTGCCCACAGGATGACGTAATGAAATTGTAATTAGCTAGGATATTAGAAAGCCATAAATACGCTCTATAAAATATACAGTGTTTTCTAATTGAATATCAATAAGAGGGGGCGGTTTTTGGGTCCATTTCAAAAAGAAAACTCTGTATGACCATGTGTCCGAAACATCTTAACTTTTGAGATGCAGGGTGGTTATGTTTTTATAAATATATTTATATATATGTATATATATATATATATATATATATATATATATATATATATATATATATATATATATATATATATATATATATATATATATATATATATATATATATATATATATATATATATATATATATATATATATATATATATATATATATATATATATATATATATATATATATATATATATATATATATATATATATATATATATATATATATATATATATATATATATATATATATATTCTCACGTATTGATTCACGGATGGAAAAATGTGATGACACTATATTCCGGGATATCATCCGTTCGCTCTTTGAACTCCGACTGTTCGAAGTGTTTTCGGAGCGCGAGCATTGAAGATGCCAAGTGAGATTTTGGCGAAACGTCTGCAGGATTCCAGTCGGAGTTCAAAGAGCGAACGGATGATATCCCGGAATATAGTGTCATCATATATATATATATATATATATATATATATATATATATATATATATATATATATATATATATATATATATATATATATATATATATATATATATATATATATATATATATATATATATATATATATATATATGTATATCAACATTTTTTTCTGGAATCCTGTTTGGTTGAAATATTACCTTCTTGTCCAATATCACTCCGAGATTTTATTCACATTGTTACTATTGACACATGGAGTAGGCATACAGACAAAATTTGCTATGCTGAAAACATTTCACTACATCATTAATGTAAATTATAAAAAACAAAGGCCCTGAATGGGAACCTTGAGGGACCCCGGAGGTGGAAAAGTGTATATCCGAGTTTTGAACATTGAACCAGACTTTAAATTTTCGACCCTTCAGATATGGCAAATTTTTATCACGAATGATATTCTAGTATCAGAGAGTCAATTTAAAAAAAAAGTGTAATAAAACGTCATTAGATGCACAAAAGATATACAGAGTGACCCAAGGAATACTTGGGTCACTCTGTATACATAACCACACTGACCAATCAAACACATAACCACTACTGAATTAGCTAGAAAGTGTTTTATCATTTTACCAAAATAATTTACAAAAATTTCCCATTGTCTTTCTTTTTCTCGGCATCAAATTCATTCGCGGATTTATATAGATTTTTGTTGGATTCTTATCATATTCATTCTAGAATTAGAGTCATTACCTCCGATGCTGTTATTCAACATTTTGATTGGTGGTTAATTGCAATGACTGAAAACAATTTTCGTTTAATGTATGAACAGGAGTTATTATTATTAAAAATTTTTTTTATTGATTTGCGTGCCTCCACCTGTGAATACAGTCACTTTGGAAAACCTCTTTGATTTTATTGTATCTTTAGAGACTTTGTATGGCAAAATTTTATCAATATTCGGTGATTTAAATATCTCTGCGCAGTCCGACTTCCTAGACACTGCTACAAGTCAATGTGTTAGATTGCTTAGCAACTTCATGCACTCCCAAAGTAATTTGGTCAGAAATAGTAAAATTATGGACTTAGTGCATAAATCTCTAAACAATTACATGGTTGAAGTTGCAATTCATCTGTCACTTCAATTTCATCATTTCTTAAATAGAAAACATGACATTCCTATGTTTTTGGATAATAATTTTAATTTAAAAAAAAACTAACTTTCTGCTCATTTTAAACTTGTTGGTTATTTTTTTCCCATAATTATTGAGGATGCCTGCTTCTTGTTTTATGATGAACTGTATGAAATTGTTGATATATGTATTTCTCGTTTTGGAAAGTCAGCTAATTATTAGTATCCTCATTAGCTTAATTCAAATATAATATACAATATAAAAAAGAAAGCCGGATGTCATAAAAGGTTCAGAAGTACGGGTAGTCCCTCAAAATTTAAAATGCCTCAGGTTTCAGATAAAATCCGAAATTAAAGACTATTATAACAGCTATCTACTTGAATATGACAATAAAAAAGTTTCTAAGTTTTTAAAAAATGTTAGTCGTTTATTAAAAACAAAAGAGAAATGTCTTTGGCACTATGTTTTCGCCATTCATTTCCTAACGAGGGTTCTCTCAACAATTTTAATGGTGTTCGTAATTCACACCACTTTGAAAATATAAACATAAAGATATTTTGTTCTGCATTAACCGCTTCTAATAATTGTAATTTGTGTCTGGGAAACCAAGTCGTTCCTGGTACATGGAAAAAATAAAAAATTATTTCCGTACACAAAAAAGACCGTAGGTCACAAATCACAAACTATTGGGCTATTTCCCCTATCTGCAATTTCTGTCAAGTCTTAGAATCTCTCCTACAGGACCAAATATTTCATGTTGTTAAGATTCAAATGGTTCCCAACAACTTGGATTTTTTAAAAAAGAAGATCCACTATTACAAATTTAACGACTAGGTCTCAGTTTATTTCTGAAGCTATTGATAAATGTTCGCAAATGGACGTCATATATCTTGATTTTTTTAAAAGCATTTGATCAAATAGATAACGAAATTTTAATCCACAAACTCAGTGCTTTTGGTCGACTGTTAATTTGTTTTCTTCATATTTGTCTAACCGCACTCAGTACGTGTATATCTATGGTCACACTTCCGATGGTGTCAGTTCTTTGATACATGCGGATTTTTTTTTAAATCCGCTATTCAGAGGATTGTCTTACTTTCCAGCGCAGTTTGAAGCAAATCAACAACAAAATCTCTGGCGTTCTAAAATTCTTTGTGACTTGGGAATAATATTCTACTCGAAATTATCCTTTGTTCATAAGGTACTGGCAAGAGTCTCAAAAATCTATGGATTAATCGTACGTTGCACCAGAGACTTTAAAATTACAGAAGTGATAAAAATAACGTCAGGTCTAAGTTGGAGTATGCATCCTGGGTACAATTGTCATATTAATAGCCAAAAAAAAATCCAGCCTAAGGTTTTGAAGTATGTATGATATAAGTTGCACAAGGCGCTTCCCATGCAAAATAATTAAATAGATTTGGTTACGTGCCTCTTATTGATGGCCACGATTACCATTATTTAATGATTTTATTTAAAATTTTAAATACTTTGTTTGATTACTCTGACCTGTTACATAGACTAAATTTTCTGGTTCCCCGTATTAACTCTAGAAATAGTAACACAGTCTTTCTGCCCACACCAAGAGCAGATATATTAAAATTTTCACTTATTTTCTTAATGTAAAAATGTAATGTAAAAACGTTATTGTTCCATTAACTATATTTCTTAATTGCGGTCTTGTCCTATTCTCTTGTTTGTTTAATAGAGTTAATACTTATGTTAGGTTACACTTTAGATTAAGTTTCGTGATGTCATTATTACTTGCAATGCCTTTGTCACTATTTAATCATTTGTACCAACAACCCACCTGTTAGTTGACCTTCATATCTGTTCGGTTAGGTTAAATAAATAAATAAATAAATAAGTCATTCTGCTGTAGTTAATTTAATTAATCCCACCAAGACCTTTGCACTACATAAGAAAATCGCAATAGGTGACATTTAAGCAGAAATTACCAAACTATCCATTGAAAAATTCACCTGAAAAATATCAGTGCGATGCGTTATAAATCGCACACGAACTGAAAATGTCGCCTGATACACATAATAAACCTACAAAATTGGACAAAAATATTTAAAATCTTTTTTTCTTAGAGAATTTAAACAAAATTCTAATACGTAAATATGAAGTTGTTTTCTTAAAATGTGCTCAACGTTCACGAATCATTAAAGAAAGTTCTCTCCAGTGGATTACAAATGTTCCCGGGAATTTCGCTCGGCGAATCGCGAAACCCGTACCTGTCACGGTATTATCCCTTCATAAGGCAATAAGTTGATATATTTTATCCGATCGGACCATATGTCGCATCAATATGGCACGCTTCGATCGTGAGAAAAATATAGATTAGTTAAGCCGCCTGTTTGCTTTGGAATTGTGAACGGTGGTGGCTCATTACGCGCATTAATCCGGCCGGAGTCTATATTGTTTTTTCGAAAAATCCTGGGCATTAATTCCTTTTTTTGTATTCAAGCTACTCTTTTTATTGTAACGATGTT